TGTGTGTGTGTGTGTGTNTGTGTGTGTGTGTGTGTGTGTGTGTGTGTGTGTGTGTGCTTGTGTGTACACTTATATGTATATATATATATGTGTGTGTGTATAAAATTATATGTATATATTTATGTATGTTTGTGTATATAACGTATATGTATATAAAAGTGTCTGTGAATTTATGAGTAGATACAGACGTGCACAGATACGCAGCGCAAAGTTGGTATATGTTACTCCCTGTATATGTGTGTGTATATAAACATATACGTATATAAGCGTATATGTATACGAGTGTGTATATAAACGTATATGTATTTTAGCGTGTTTGTATATATATATATGGATGTATAAAGGTATATGTATATAAGCGTATAAGTATACATATATGTATGTAGAAGCGTACAAGGGTAAACCACAAACCAGTAGGCACACTGCATTCACACTGTATTCACACTAATACCACACTAATTGTCTACTAATACCACATTAATTACTAACTAATTCAGTAACAAATGCACATTAGTTGACCCACTATATTCACAATGATATTACACTATCACCACGCTAATTGCTATCTAATACAACACTAATTACCAACCAATACAACACTAAATGCAAGGCACACTGTACTCACACTAATATCACACTCCAAACTAATTGCCAACTAATACAAAAATAAATGCACACCAGTGGGGGCACACTATATTCACACTGATATCGCACTAATACCACACTAATTGCCAACTAATACAACATTAAATGCACACTATATTCACACAAATACCACACCAATACCACGCTAATTGCCAACTAATACAACATTAAATGCACGCCGGTGGGCACACTGTATTCACACTAATACCACACCAATGCCACACTAATTGCCAACTAATACGACATTAAATGCACGCCGGTGGGCACACTGTATTCACACTAATACCACACCAATACCACTCTAATTGCCAACTAATACAAAATTAAATGCACACTAAATAGTCCTACATACCGCCCCTCCATTCTGTATCAATGCCTTGTTCTTGCTATCGGCCAATTCGGCGCTGACGGGAATAAAATTGGAGCACCACAACAGAAACGGATTCAAAAAGTTTTGGGATATCTGGAATGTCAGGAGAATTGGAAAGTGAATTGATTCGGATAAAAAAAATGAGTTTGTATTTTAACCCAAAAAAAAATGGGAATTCTTGTCACAAGCTTGCAGAGAATTTGGAAATGGATCAATTCGGATTAAAACACAAATCTCAATTCAACACACACGTGTAATATCAATCCCTCTCACAGTCATGCTGTGTTTGTGTGACATGTGTGGCGTACTGTCTGAGCTCTGGAGATACTACCTGGGATCTAAATCACAGACATTTATTTTACTTTGAGATAGTTAACTAAGATATCCGACTGAATAGTTATTTGCTTGCGAAGAAAACAATACACTCAGAGACTCTGTAAGTGCGTTGAGGGGTCTAAGCTTTAACTCTGTACAACCGGCCACACAATTCCTTAGACGCGAGGATAGTTGGTGCTTGGTATATATAGGCACACTTGTAGATACAAAAAATACGACAAATACGACAAATACGACACAGGCATGCAGATGGCTAGGTACCAAGTGATGGGGTTTAGGTGCAGATGTATACTGCATCGGCTTGGTGTTTTAATTTTAATTTTAATTTTTCTTAAGTTGGACATAGAGATATTTTATTGGTTATTTTGAGTAGATAATTGTTTCAAGGCGTGAAATGTAAAATATGCGTCCAATGAAATCATATCTAGTCTTAGTAACTAAAACATAAATAAATCTAGACCGAAGTAGTGAGTGGTTAGAGCGGAGCATATAGACAATAGTCTCAGTCTAAAATCCCCTAATCTTTTGCTCACTACCAAGCGGTCTAGTTCTACACACAAACATATGAATGGAAGGATCCGTAGACATACTCGAAAGCATACATTGACATTGTAGTGTAGAAGTAAAATTTACTAAATACGTACACTACTGTAAGCACGTATTGTATGGAATTCGTTGTGCTTATGAGCAAGTATAT